AACTACAACGGCGGCATCAAGCTGCGCCTCGACATGGTCATTGGCGAGACCAACCAGATCGAGAGCGACGACAAGGAGAAGCTCCAGGACATCACCACCCGCGTCAAGGACCTCAATGCCAGGCTCAACGACATTCGCAGGGAGCAGGTTTTCCAAAGAGTCAGTACTGCCCATCTTTCTTTCATGCTGGTTAGATGCTTACACACAACTTTCCCATCTATAGGAACGAGAAGCCGAGTTTAGAGACCAGTCCGAATCGACTAACGCCCGCGTCGTCCGCTGGATCATCATCCAACTCGTCGTCCTCGGCGCCACCTGCGCATGGCAACTTTCACATCTACGCTCATTCTTCATCAAGCAGAAGCTTACTTGAGAAGGATATACAACTAGAAGCGACAAATAAAGCTAGGAAGGGAAGAGAAGGTCTAGCTTACTTACCGGTCTTTTCGGGGAGGGTTAACTCTTTTATCAAAAGCAACATGGCGTGATTCAAGAAGAGAAAAAAATGATCGAAATACGATGAACAAACCCGTCATTTCGTTCCACATCTAAACCGTCAAAGCCTCTCTCGATCAAAGGACACATCAGGTGTGCGATGAAAGGGCTGTGACGTCTGTCCAATTTACTTAATGTATGAGGCGTAGCGTAGTACGGCAAATTGAAAGAAATGAAAAATGTTTGATATAGTAATTATTCCAGTTGATTTTTTTTTAATAAATTTTCATAAGTTTTGCTGCATCCTCACACACTTTTTTCGGACAATCCTAATTCCATTACAAGGTATACCGATGAATAACTCCCTACCTAATGACGGATCCCAAACTCTCAAAAGACATCTTCTCTCCGTACAAAGCTCGCCAATTTCAGAACTGTCAACACGCAAAATGCTGCTACTACCTCGACCTCGTCTCTCTATACACATCCATGCCCAGCTCGTCACTCGGGGGGGGGGGGGGGGGGGGGGGGGGGGGGGGGGGGGGGGGGGGGGGGGGGGGGGGGGGGG